GTTGATTGAAGATGCAAGGAGAAAGAAAGGAGAAGGAGCGAGTAAGTGAGTTGCAGGAAGGTGTAGAAGTAGTTGAGAAAGGCGAACAGTGCCACGTTAGCAGGCAGATAGAAGAAACCTGGAGATTAGCGGAACACATGGGGAGAGAGGATGTTGATTGAAGATGCAAGGAGAAAGAAAGGAGAAGGAGCGAGTAAGTGAGTTGCAGGAAGGTGTGGAAGTAGTTGAGAAAGGCGAACAGTGCCACGTTAGCAGGCAGATAGAAGAAACCTGGAGATTAGCGGAACACATGGGGAGAGAGGATGTTGATTGAAGATGCAAGGAGAAAGAAAGGAGAAGGAGCGAGTAAGTGAGTTGCAGGAAGGTGTGGAAGTAGTTGAAGAATGCAATCAGTGCCACGTTGGCGGGGAGGTAGAAGAAACCTGGGGATGAGTGGAGCAGGGAAATCAAAGGGAGTGGAGGAGGGAGAGGGAGCAGGGAGAGGAGTGAGTGAGTTGCAGGAAGGTGTAGAAGTAGTTGAAGAATGCGATGAGTGCCACGTTGGCAGGCGGGGGTAGAGGAGACCTGGGGATTAGTGGAACACATGGTGGTAAAAAGAGTGAGAGGATGACGGAAAAGCAGAGTGATAAATTTGCAGTAAGGTGTAGAAGTAGTTGAAGAAAGCGATCAGTGCCACGTTGGCAGGCAGATAGATCGGTAAAGCGAGCTATGGAGTAGGGAGCAGGAGCAGTCTGGTTACCCTATTACTGACCTGTGGTTACCATGTAACATACCTCCAGGGTAGAGAGCTGTAGCAGCGGACTGGAAAGCAGCACTTCCGGTAAAGCGAGCGATGGAGTAGGGAGCAGCGAGGAGCGAGGAAGAGAAGATAATTGGCATGACTCCCGTTGAGTTGACCTGCAGAGGGGGGAAGAGGAAGAGACGGGTAGAGGGTAGATGAGAAAGATGTTGATCCGAGAGGGTGGAACATAAGAAAGACGAAGGAGAGAGGAGGAGAAGACGATTGGCATGACTTTCGTTGAGTTGACCTGCGGGGGGGATTAGAGGTTGGATAAGAGAAAAGAGGTGGTTGTGAGAGAGGGGTGGTTGGAGAGAATGGGTAGATGAGAGAGAAAGGAACGGCAGATAATTGAGAAGAGAGGAGTAAACGTGAGGCATGGCTTCTGTTGAGTTGAGTGTGGGGGTTGGTGGGGGGGGGGGGGGGGAAGGGTGAGTGAGTGAGGGGTCGATGCAAGAAAAAGAAAGCGGTGTGTTACATTCGCGGGAGAGATGCTACCTTCGAGGGGGAGGTGTTACCTTCCAGGGGGAGGTGCTGCCTTTCAGGGGGAGGTGTAACCTTCCAGAGGGAGGTGCTGCCTTTCAGGGGGAGGTGTTGCCTTTCAGGGGAGGTGTTACCTTGAATGGCAGGTACGCATTCCGCGTCTTGATGTTGTACCGAGACGCATAGTTGATTGGAATACGCCGCTCTGCCTCCTGCTCGGTGGAAGGGATTAAGTTGTGTGGTGGTGGGGGTGGTGGGGGTGGTAGGGGGAGTGGGAAGAACGGAGAAAAGAGGACGGGGAATTTGAATTGGTTGTATCGAGACACATAGTTGACGGGAATACGCCGCTCTGCTTCCTGCTTGGAGGGAAAGGGGTAGTGGATAGGGTAAGAGGGTGGGAGGGGAAGGGGAGGAGAGGGTAGAAAGAGAGTAGAGGGTGAGATGGTGCATGGGGTTGGTTGTACCGTTATGCGTAGTTGATGGGGATGTGACACTCTGCCTCCTACTCGGAGGGAAGGGGGAAGTTGGAGCTGGTTGTAGCGGCACATAGTTGTTGGAATGCGACTCCCCGCCTTCTGCTCAGAAGGCTGGCAGGCAGGCCGGCAGAGAGGCATAGAGCAGGAACCCACCTGCACCCATTCACACCCACCTGCACGTAGACAATCCCAAGGACGAGCAGCAGGAAGGAGGCCAGCAGCAGCGCCTCGCCGGGTAACGTTCCCCTGCTCAGACGCCTCTGTGATGCAGGTAGGCAGGCAGGAGGAATATAGCACACCCATCCACACCCATCTGTACCGCACCCACCTGCACGTAGACGATGCCGAACACGAGCAGCAGGAAGGACGCGAGCAGCAGCGCCTCTCCGGTCACATTCCCTTGTTCAGAAGCCTCTGTGATCGTCCTCCCAATGGACGCCGGCAGGTAGGAAACGATATTGGTGAAGATGAGCAGAGAGGTGCCGTTGCCGAGCTTGAGATCAGTGATCTTGTCTCCCAGCAGGATGACTGCCACGGATCCCAAAGTGAGGCCCGAGACGGCGGAGACTGCCCAGGCGACCGACGGGTCGTAGGCGTACTGCTGTAGATATGCCACCTGTCCGATAGCCTGGGAGGAGGGCGAGAGGCAGGGAGGAAGGGAGAGCTTGAGGTGGGTGATCCTGTCTCCCAGGAGGATGACTGCCACGGATCCGACAGTCAGGCCTGAGACGGCTGAGACTGCCCAGGCGACCGAGGGGTCGTAGGCGTACTGCTGCAGATATGCCAACCTGTCCGATTGCCTGGGAGGAGGGCGAGAGGCAGGGAGGAAGGGAGGAGAGCTTGAGGTGGTTGATCCTGTCTCCCAGGAGGATGACTGCCACGGATCCGACAGTCAGGCCTGAGACGGCTGAGACTGCCCAAGCGACTGATGGGTCGTATGCGTACTGATGCAGGTTAGGCCACTTGGCCGATAGCCTGTGGGAGGGGGGGCAGGGAGAAGGAGAGCTTGAGGTGGGTCGGTGATCTTGTCTCCCCGCAGTGGGGCGACTGAGGGTCGTATGCGTACAACTGGAGGTAGGCCACTTGGCCTATGGCCGAGTGGAGGATGAGGTGGATGGGGCTGGTAGGTGGGGAGTGGAGGCAGGGCGGAGACTGAGGTGGGTCGGTGATCTTGTCTGCAGTGGGGCGACTGAGGGGTCGTATGGTACAACTGGAGGTAGGCCACTTGGCCTATGGCCTGGGGAGTGGAGGGGGAAGAATAGGGTGGGAGCGGTGGGGTTGGGTTGAGGAGGGGCGACTGAGTGGTCGTATGCGTACTGCTGGAGGTAGGCCACTTGGCCGATAGCCTGTTGGCAGTGGAGGGGGGCAGGGAGAAGGAGAGCTTGAGGGGGTCGGTGATCTTGTCTCCCCGCACGATGACTGCTACGGACCCGAGGCGCTCGTAATCTAGTAAAGACAAGAAGAATGTAATGAAATCAGGTAACGTACCTGCAGGGCACCGAACGCCACAGCCATATACTTCATGTACTGCTGCGCTTTCTTCCTCCCCGCCTCCCCCTCCTTCTTCTGCAGATCCCCAATCTTAGGGTACAGCGTCCCCAGCAGCTGGAACACGATCTGAGCGTTGATATACGGCACGAATGCCCAGCGAAAACAATCCCAGCCGTCCAATCCCGCCCCCTGAGAGCGTGTCTAGGGTGGCCAGGAATGAGCCCTCCCCCAGTTGCTCCTGGAAGGCGGAGATATCGACGCCCCACAGGGGAATGTAGATTCCCACGCGGGATAGCGCGAGCAGACCCAGGAGCATGAGGAATTTCTTGGGTAAATCGCCCTTGAAAAAGTCGCCGATGTCGATCTTGCTGTCCTCCACTGGAAAGGTGGTGCGGGTCAGGTCAGGGGAGAGGTGGAAACGGGAGGCAGAGGGGGGAGAAAGAGGAGGGAGAACAAGGCAGAGAAAGGCAGAGAGATATAGTGGGAAGGCGGGAGGAGGGATGAGGGAGAGATTGAAGCAGGGGAGGAAAAAAGGAAGAGGGAATTCGGTTTAGTCTTTTTTTTTTTCCCTCGCCCCCCAAGTCCCCCAAGTCCCCCCCCCCCCTCCCCCCCACCCGGGGGGGGATGGAGGGTGGGGGAGAGGGGACAGGGGGGGACGGGAGGGTGGGAGGAAAGGAATAACATTCTGATGTATGTATTGAAATAATATCACAATCAAGAATCACGGAATATTCTCTCAAATTCAAGCTAGAATCAGCCAACCAGGCTTTGTGACTGTGACTGTAATGAAGGTGGCTGTAATGAAGGCGACTCGACCCGGGGGTTACTGCAATGAAGGCGACTCGACTCGGGGGTGACTGCAATGAAGGCGACTCGACTCGGGGGTGACTGCAATGAAGGCGACTCGACTCGGGGGTGACTGCAATGAAGGCGACTCGACTCGGGGGTGACTGTAATGAATGCGACTCGACCCGGGATTGACTGTAATGAAGGCGACTCGACTCGCGGTCGGCGTGACTATAACCAAGTTCAGGGCGGCATGGCCAGCCTCCTGTCAAGAGAGCATGCCACGTCAGCACTTGTTGCCACGTCAGCAGGACCTGGGTTGAGGTAGGGCCTGGGTCCGGTTCGGGTATGGGCTGCCTCACGTCTCTGCCCCGGGCCTCACGTCTCTGCCCCGGGCCTCACATCTCTGCCCCGGGCCTCACGTCTCTGCCCCGGGCCTCACATCTCTGCCCCGGGCCTCACATCTCTGCCCCGGGCCTCACGTCTCTGCCCCGGGCCTCACGTCTCTGCCCCGGGCCTCACATCTCTGCCCCGGGCCTCACATCTCTGCCCCGGGCCTCACATCTCTGCCCGGGCCTCACATCTCTGCCCCGGGCCTCAATACCTACCATAACCAACAAACACCACCTAACATTATCTACCACAGAAACATAACATAATCCTAAACAGCACCTAAGTAAGTTTGATGCATTTTTTGTGAACATTTCTAGACATTACTACGGTACGGGGAATCTTTATCGCACCTGCAATTCGTAGTGGCACCTGTGCAAGGTCCACGGGGGGGAGGGGCGGGAGAGAGAGGAGGACGAGAGGAGAAGAGGAAATGCGGGTCAGGGGAGGTGCTATGAGGGGCAGGGCAGGGGGGTGATGATAGCAGCAAGCACTGCAATAAGAGCCGCAGCATAAGCAAGCAAAGCTCATTCCCCCCCCACCTCCATGCGCATTTCCCCCCTGCACCGCACACCACCCCACCCCACCCAACACACTCACCATGTCGTGGCCGGCAGTTGGTGAGCTCGATGGAGGTGGCGACTCCCTCCCCCGCCATCTCCCTGACATGGCGGAACGGACGGCACGAGCAAACGGGGCAAAAGCATGGGCAAAGGGGGCAACGCATGAGCAGAGGGGGAAAGGCATGGGCAGGGAGAACGGCATGAGCAGAGGGGGAAAGGCATGGGCAGGGAGAACGGCATGAGCAGAGGGGAAAGGCATGCGCAAGGCGGAATGCATGGGAAAAGGCGGAAAGGCATGCGCAAGGCGGAAAGGCATGCGCAAGGCGGAAAGGCATGCGCAAGGCGGAAAAGGCATGGGGAAGGCGGAAAGGCATGGGGAAGGCGGAAATGCATGGGCAAGGCGGAAAGGCAGGGGAAAGGCGGACATGCATGCGCAAGGCGGAAAGGCATGGGAAAAGGGGGGAACGGCGCGCTGACCTGCTCCGCGTGCAGCATGCTCGCCGGTGCTGTCCGCGCGGCCAGCAGCGCGCGCGGCGCTACCTGGTGAGCGCGGTGGGCGCCGTCACGGCGGGTGGAGCGGCGGCGGGTAGGCGCTGCTACGCTGGAGCCTGTCGTCCCTGCACAGCAAGGGGAGGGAGGGGCAGAGGGGAGAGCGGAGGAAGGGACGGAGGGAGAGAGCAACGAGAAAACCAAGAAAGGCAAGAGGGGTTGAGGACTGAAGTGAACTGTTTGGAAAGAATGCTCACGTAGGAGAGAAAATGGGAACATAACGGGAATTCCAGGGAGAAAACAGATAAAGAGGACAAAACGAAATAAAGTAATAAAACAGTAGAACAAAACGGATTTTGCATGGCGCATGGCACACATGCAGTCGCATGGCGCACATGCAATCGCGTGCTCATGAAATTTCAGCGTGCGCACATGCAGTGACAGTGCGCACCTGCTGGAGGGAGGAATAAGGGCCCTCCCACAGTGCGGGAGGGATCCGCCGCCTATGTTGAATCCCATGGGGGAAGGAATTCGAAGTCTAACGTGGGGAAGGCATTTAAGACCACTGATCGAGATGGGAGAGAAGGAATGGAGATCGGGAGAGCGGAAAAACGGAGACTAACGTGGGAGACGAAATTAGGAGATGAGCTGCGACCGATATGGGAGAGAATGAGTGGATCGGGGGAGAGCGGAGCTATGGAAAGTAACGTGGAAAATAATGGAGTTGAGATCGAAATGGGATGGGGATGGGATTGGGAGAGAAGCAAGGAAGGAGGAGTGGAGGAGATCGGGAGAGGAGTTGGAGAGGAGAGCAAGCAAGCAGATTTGTTGACTCTCGCCACTGTAGCGCGAAATGACCAGCACCCTCGCCTCGGTCACCAAAACAGAAACGAATTGCAACTCTTCATACAAAAAAGGAACACTCCTCACCCTGGAACATGTAAACCTAAAACGAAAATAAGAGTGTACACCTAGAATCCACCTGCCCTGCACCAAAAAAACGATGGTGGGGACCAAATCTCAGAATTTCACACACATTGCAAACCAAGTCGCGGAGCACAACACAAGCCTCCAATCCAAATCAAGTCGCTAAACACAAGTCGCGAAACATCCCACCGGTCCAATCAAACAGCACAAGCCATGCCAGCTAGCGCGGTCTGGAAGTGACAGAAACGAGACTCGGATGATGTACAATCCAATATACAGTCATTGGTGCAGCGCTGGCGCGCTGCGCGATCCGCCTGGTGCCTGCAAACTTACTTTCTTATCAATCTATTCCCATGTACATGGGAATAGATTGATAAGAATGTAAGTTTGCATTTTCCTGGTTTATGTTTTCCTTCACGATGCATGCATTGTTATAAGCAAATATTCCAGAAAACAAGTGGGCTGACCCTGGTGTTGGTTGGTACATCTGCAGCAAAATCTTAGGCTAGCTAGTTCCTAGCTACCTATTTTTTAGCTATCTATTTGCTAGCTACCTAATTCCTGGCTAGTTATAGCCTGGCCTTGCCAATTCCTAGCTAGCCAATTTCTGGCCTGCCAACTCCTTGCTAACTCCTAGCCAATTCCTAGCTTGCTATTTCCTAGCTAGTAGCTAGTTAATTCCTAGCCAGCCAAATCATAGCTGGTAACTAGTTCCTAGCCAGCCACATCCTAGCAAGCTAATCCCTAGCTAGCTGCCGTAATTCCTAGTCAACCAAATCCTAACTACCGTAGCTAATTTGTAGATAGTTTACTACTCCTGGCTAAACCTACGAGAAAGGGGCATCTGCGAGGGCGTGTTCCGGCTTCGTCTGTACGCGGTAAACACGATTGGATGTATCAGGGATGTGTCAGGAAGATGCTTCCTTGTGTCACACTCATTGTGGAGTTGATGAAAAGACTGACGTTGCAGATAATGACACCATCTCAAATCGACACGCAACAGGGCCTGGCCTGCAAATCGTGCCAACCAAGCGATGGCCCGATACAAACACAGAGACTCAAAAGCTTGAAGCAATCTAATTCAGTAACGCACCACTCCATGCGCTTGACATTGATGTCATTCAACACAGAAACCTTGGTCGTCACGATGCAAGTGTGTAACACTCTATCATGCAGTTGCTTGAACCTAGTTTCACATCAACACGAAGCCACAAGGTACTTTATACGATACCTTGTGCACACCGATGCTGCTCTACTCTAAATATCCAGCCTCAGCATTCACCTAGGAGGCGGAATCCCTCCACCACCCGCACTGATATCATCCAGCTCAATCGTCCTATACTTCTGCGAAACCAGCTCCGCCTGCACCTTCCTGGCTGTATCGGTAGCGCATCCGACTAAAATGAGGATGGACGTTCCAGCAAACCCCCGGAAGGCCGTGAGGTGAGTGATTCCTTCCACAAGAGCCGGCGCTGCTGCCATCGTGCCGAGAAAACGCCGACCCGAGCACCGAAATGCGGGTGAGGACCTGGTGTTAAGTAGTTAAAGAAGCAAGAGTAATGGGGAGAAAGGGAGAAGGGGATGGGAGGGGGAAGGAGAAGCCAAAGAGGGAAAGGAAACACGAGTGGGGAAAGGGCTGAGAGGGAGCCGGCCAGGAGTCATCATGGAGTGTTTGCGAGGCCAAACGGAGCTTGGTGATGAGCATGGCTGCTGCCTTGCCAGGCCTGGTGTAGGCCACAGACGCGCCCTGCCTCTTGAGAAAGTGGGCCGTATGCCGGATTTACGAACGTACAATGAGTGAACAAGGGCGACTCACCTTGGTGATGAGTGCGGCTGTTGCTTTGCCGGGCCTCGTGTTGGGTACGGACGCACCCTGCCTCTTGAGCTGGTCGCTGACATCAGCAGGGTCGAGTTGCAGGAAGGTGTAGAAGTAGTTGAAGAAGGCAATGAGTGCCACGTTGGCGGGGAGGTAGAAGAAACCTGGGGATTAGCGGAACACATGGGGAGAGAGGATGTTGATTGAAGATGCAAGGAGAAAGAAAGGAGAAGGAGCGAGTAAGTGAGTTGCAGGAAGGTGTAGAAGTAGTTGAGAAAGGCGAACAGTGCCACGTTAGCAGGCAGATAGAAGAAACCTGGAGATTAGCGGAACACATGGGGAGAGAGGATGTTGATTGAAGATGCAAGGAGAAAGAAAGGAGAAGGAGCGAGTAAGTGAGTTGCAGGAAGGTGTGGAAGTAGTTGAGAAAGGCGAACAGTGCCACGTTAGCAGGCAGATAGAAGAAACCTGGAGATTAGCGGAACACATGGGGAGAGAGGATGTTGATTGAAGATGCAAGGAGAAAGAAAGGAGAAGGAGCGAGTAAGTGAGTTGCAGGAAGGTGTGGAAGTAGTTGAAGAATGCAATCAGTGCCACGTTGGCGGGGAGGTAGAAGAAACCTGGGGATGAGTGGAGCAGGGAAATCAAAGGGAGTGGAGGAGGGAGAGGGAGCAGGGAGAGGAGTGAGTGAGTTGCAGGAAGGTGTAGAAGTAGTTGAAGAATGCGATGAGTGCCACGTTGGCAGGCGGGTAGAGGAGACCTGGGGATTAGTGGAACACATGGTGGTAAAAAGAGTGAGAGGATGACGGAAAAGCAGAGTGATAAATTTGCAGTAAGGTGTAGAAGTAGTTGAAGAAAGCGATCAGTGCCACGTTGGCAGGCAGATAGATCGGTAAAGCGAGCTATGGAGTAGGGAGCAGGGAGCAGTCTGGTTACCCTATTACTGACCTGTGGTTACCATGTAACATACCTCCAGGGTAGAGAGCTGTAGCAGCGGACTGGAAAGCAGCACTTCCGGTAAAGCGAGCGATGGAGTAGGGAGCAGCGAGGAGCGAGGAAGAGAAGATAATTGGCATGACTCCCGTTGAGTTGACCTGCAGAGGGGGGAAGAGGAAGAGACGGGTAGAGGGTAGATGAGAAAGATGTTGATCCGAGAGGGTGGAACATAAGAAAGACAAAGGAGAGAGGAGGAGAAGACGATTGGCATGACTTTCGTTGAGTTGACCTGCGGGGGGGATTAGAGGTTGGATAAGAGAAAAGAGGTGGTTGTGAGAGAGGGGTGGTTGGAGAGAATGGGTAGATGAGAGAGAAAGGAACGGCAGATAATTGAGAAGAGAGGAGTAAACGTGAGGCATGGCTTCTGTTGAGTTGAGTGTGGGGGTTGGTGGGGGGGGGGGGGGAAGGGTGAGTGAGTGAGGGGTCGATGCAAGAAAAAGAAAGCGGTGTGTTACATTCGCGGGAGAGATGCTACCTTCGAGGGGGAGGTGTTACCTTCCAGGGGGAGGTGCTGCCTTTCAGGGGGAGGTGTAACCTTCCAGAGGGAGGTGCTGCCTTTCAGGGGGAGGTGTTGCCTTTCAGGGGGAGGTGTTACCTTGAATGGCAGGTACGCATTCCGCGTCTTGATGTTGTACCGAGACGCATAGTTGATTGGAATACGCCGCTCTGCCTCCTGCTCGGTGGAAGGGATTAAGTTGTGGTGGTGGTGGGGGTGGTAGGGGGAGTGGGAAGAACGGAGAAAAGAGGACGGGGAATTTGAATTGGTTGTATCGAGACACATAGTTGACGGGAATACGCCGCTCTGCTTCCTGCTTGGAGGGAAAGGGGTAGTGGATAGGGTAGAGGGTGGGAGGGGAAGGGGAGGAGAGGGTAGAAAGAGAGTAGAGGGTGAGATGGTGCATGGGGTTGGTTGTACCGTTATGCGTAGTTGATGGGGATGTGACACTCTGCCTCCTACTCGGAGGGAAGGGGGAAGTTGGAGCTGGTTGTAGCGGCACATAGTTGTTGGGAATGCGACTCCCCGCCTTCTGCTCAGAAGGCTGGCAGGCAGGCCGGCAGAGAGGCATAGAGCAGGAACCCACCTGCACCCATTCACACCCACCTGCACGTAGACAATCCCAAGGACGAGCAGCAGGAAGGAGGCCAGCAGCAGCGCCTCGCCGGTACCGTTCCCCTGCTCAGACGCCTCTGTGATGCAGGTAGGCAGGCAGGAGGAATATAGCACACCCATCCACACCCATCTGTACCGCACCCACCTGCACGTAGACGATGCCGAACACGAGCAGCAGGAAGGACGCGAGCAGCAGCGCCTCTCCGGTCACATTCCCTTGTTCAGAAGCCTCTGTGATCGTCCTCACCAATGGACGCCGGCAGGTAGGAAACGATATTGGTGAAGATGAGCAGAGAGGTGCCGTTGCCGAGCTTGAGATCAGTGATCTTGTCTCCCAGCAGGATGACTGCCACGGATCCCAAAGTGAGGCCCGAGACGGCGGAGACTGCCCAGGGCGACCGACGGGTCGTAGGCGTACTTGCTGTAGATATGCCACCTGTCCGATAGCCTGGGAGGAGGGCGAGAGGCAGGGAGGAAGGAGAGCTTGAGGTGGGTGATCCTGTCTCCCAGGAGGATGACTGCCACGGATCCGACAGTCAGGCCTGAGACGGCTGAGACTGCCCAGGCGACCGAGGGGTCGTAGGCGTACTGCTGCAGATATGCCACCTGTCCGATTGCCTGGGAGGCAGGGCGAGAGGCAGGGAGGAAGGGAGAGCTTGAGGTGGGTGATCCTGTCTCCCAGGAGGATGACTGCCACGGATCCGACAGTCAGGCCTGAGACGGCTGAGACTGCCCAAGCGACTGATGGGTCGTATGCGTACTGCTGCAGGTAGGCCACTTGGCCGATAGCCTGGGGAGTGGAGGGGGGCAGGGAGAAGGAGAGCTTGAGGTGGGTCGGTGATCTTGTCTCCCCGCAGTGGGGGCGACTGAGGGGTCGTATGGCGTACAACTGGAGGTAGGCCACTTGGCCTATGGCCTGGGGAGTGGAGGGGGAAGAATAGGGTGGGAAGCGGTGGGGTTGGGTTGAGGAGGGGCGACTGAGTGGTCGTATGCGTACTGCTGGAGGTAGGCCACTTGGCCGATAGCCTGTTGGCAGTGGAGGGGGGCAGGGAGAAGGAGAGCTTGAGGTGGGTCGGTGATCTTGTCTCCCCGCACGATGACTGCTACGGACCCGAGGCGCTCGTAATCTAGTAAAGACAAGAAGAATGTAATGAAATCAGGTAACGTACCTGCAGGGCACCGAACGCCACAGCCCATATACTTCATGTACTGCTGCGCTTTCTTCCTCCCCGCCTCCCCTCCTTCTTCTGCAGATCCCCAATCTTAGGGGTACAGCGTCCCCAGCAGCTGGAACACGATCTGAGCGTTGATATACGCACGATGCCCAGCGAAAACAATCCCAGCCGTCCAATCCCGCCCCCTGAGAGCGTGTCTAGGGTGGCCAGGAATGAGCCCCTCCCCCAGTTGCTCCTGGAAGGCGGAGATATCGACGCCCCACAGGGGAATGTAGATTCTCCACGCGGGATAGCGCGAGCAGACCCAGGAGCATGAGGAATTTCTTGGGTAAATCGCCCTTGAAAAAAGTCGCCGATGTCGCATCTTGCTGTCCTCCACTGGAAAGGTGGTGCGGGTCAGGTCAGGGGTAGAGGTGGAAACGGGAGGCAGAGGGGGGAGAAAGAGGAGGGAGAACAAGGCAGAGAAAGGCAGAGAGATATAGTGGGAAGGCGGGGAGGAGGATGAGGACGAGATTGAAGCAGGGGAGGAAAAAAGGAAAGAGGGAATTCGGTTTAGTCTTTTTTTTTTTTCCCTCGCCCCCCCAATTCCCCCAAGTCCCCCCCCCCCCCCGTCCCCCCCACACCCGGGGGGGGATGGAGGGTGGGGGAGAGGGGACAGGGGGGACGGGAGGGTTGGGAGGAAAGGAATAACATTCTGATGTATGTATTGAAATAATATCACAATCAAGAATCACGGAATATTCTCTCAAATTCAAGCTAGAATCAGCCAACCAGGCTTTGTGACTGTGACTGTAATGAAGGTGGCTGTAATGAAGGCGACTCGACCCGGGGGTTACTGCAATGAAGGCGACTCGACTCGGGGGTGACTGCAATGAAGGCGACTCGACTCGGGGGTGACTGCAATGAAGGCGACTCGACTCGGGGGTGACTGCAATGAAGGCGACTCGACTCGGGGGTGACTGTAATGAATGCGACTCGACCGGGATTGACTGTAATGAAGGCGACTCGACTCGCGGTCGGCGTGACTATAACCAAGTTCAGGGCGGCATGGCCAGCCTCCTGTCAAGAGAGCATGCCACGTCAGCACTTGTTGCCACGTCAGCAGGACCTGGGTTGAGGTAGGGCCTGGGTCCGGTTCGGGTATGGGCTGCCTCACGTCTCTGCCCCGGGCCTCACGTCTCTGCCCCGGGCCTCACATCTCTGCCCCGGGCCTCACGTCTCTGCCCCGGGCCTCACATCTCTGCCCCGGGCCTCACGTCTCTGCCCCGGGCCTCACGTCTCTGCCCCGGGCCTCACACTCTGCCCCGGGCCTCACATCTCTGCCCCGGGCCTCACATCTCTGCCCCGGGCCTCACATCTCTGCCCCGGGCCTCAATACCTACCATAACCAACAAACACCACCTAACATTATCTACCACAGAAACATAACATAATCCTAAACAGCACCTAAGTAAGTTTGATGCATTTTTTGTGAACATTTCTAGACATTACTACGGTACGGGGAATCTTTATCGCACCTGCAATTCGTAGTGGCACCTGTGCAAGGTCCACGGGGGGGAGGGGCGGGAGAGAGAGGAGGACGAGAGGAGAAGAGGAAATGCGGGTCAGGGGAGGTGCTATGAGGGGCAGGGCAGGGGGGTGATGATAGCAGCAAGCACTGCAATAAGAGCCGCAGCATAAGCAAGCAAAGCTCATTCCCCCCCACCTCCATGCGCATTTCCCCCTGCACCGCACACCACCCCACCCCACCCAACACACTCACCATGTCGTGGCCGGCAGTTGGTGAGCTCGATGGAGGTGGCGACTCCCTCCCCCGCCATCTCCCTGACATGGCGGACGGAACGGACGGCACGAGCAAACGGGGCAAAGCATGGGCAAAGGGGGCAACGCATGAGCAGAGGGGGAAAGGCATGGGCAGGGAGAACGGCATGAGCAGAGGGGAAAAGGCATGGGCAGGGAGAACGGCATGAGCAGAGGGGGAAAGGCATGCGCAAGGCGGGAATGCATGGGAAAGGCGGAAAGGCATGCGCAAGGCGGAAAGGCATGCGCAAGGCGGAAAGGCATGCGCAAGGCGGAAAGGCATGGGGAAGGCGGAAAGGCATGGGGAAGGCGGAAATGCATGGGCAAGGCGGAAAGGCAGGGGAAAGGCGGACATGCATGCGCAAGGCGGAAAGGCATGGGAAAAGGGGGGGAACGGCGCGCTGACCTGCTCCGCGTGCAGCATGCTCGCCGGTGCTGTCCGCGCGGCCAGCAGCGCGCGCGGCGCTACCTGGTGAGCGCGGTGGGCGCCGTCACGGCGGGTGGAGCGGCGGCGGGTAGGCGCTGCTACGCTGGAGCCTGTCGTCCCTGCACAGCAAGGGGAGGGAGGGGCAGAGGGAGAGCGGAGGAAGGGACGGAGGGAGAGAGCAACGAGAAACCAAGAAAGGCAAGAGGGTTGAGGACTGAAGTGAACTGTTTGGAAAGAATGCTCACGTAGGAGAGAAATGGGAAAACATAACGGGAATTCCAGGGAGAAAACAGATAAAGAGGACAAAACGAAATAAAGTAATAAAACAGTAGAACAAAACGGATTTTGCATGGCGCATGGCACACATGCAGTCGCATGGCGCACATGCAATCGCGTGCTCATGAAATTTCAGCGTGCGCACATGCAGTGACAGTGCGCACCTGCTGGAGGGAGGAATAAGGGGCCCTCCACAGTGCGGGAGGGATCCGCCGCCTATGTTGAATCCCATGGGG